AAAAAAAAAATGGCCAAAAATAAATAAAGAAAAAAGGGATGAGAAAGAAAAAAAGAAAGATGTAAAGGCGAATGTCATGCAACAAAAAAAAAGAGGGAAGAAGACAAGAAAAGCGAGAGAATGAAATTAAGAGAAATGGGAGAAAGAAAAAAATTAAATAAAAAATAAAAACATATAAAAAATAAAGAGAGAAGATATCGGCCATCATTCGTCTCACTGCTTCCTGGGTATGACGATAAACTACTTCCAACAGCAAGGCCTCAGATCAGGAGTTTTTGAGAAGTGTAAAACCAACACTTAATTGCTGGTGTTCCTAGGTCCGCCCTAACCCGGGGTGGTAGCACCTGGTAGGGTCCCAGCTATGGGTAAATAGTTAACCCTGAAACTTGGGTAAAACACTATGAATGCGTAAAAATAGGTTTTAATACCAGAAATACTTTAAAAAAAAATTAATACTAGCAATAAATTTTTAAAGAAAAAAAAAACTATCACCAGCAATACATTTTTGAAAATTAAAAAAAAATATCAGCAATACATTTTGGAAGGAAAAATATTACCAGAAATAGATTTTTGACAAAAAATATTACCAGCAATAAAAATTTTGTCGCCATTAAAAAACTAACTGAAGTTGATATGCCGTAAACCAAACGAAACCAAACCAAACGAAACCAAACGAAACGAAACGAAACCAAACCAAACCAAACCAAACCAAACCAAACCAAACCAAACGAAACGAAACCAAACGAAACTTCTTTTTCTATATGCCGTGTCCCTGCAGGGATTGTTCAATCATGTCTCTCCAAATTTTTTTTTCTTGTGCAGCTCTTAGGACATTTTCTCTCTTCGCTTTCTCACCTAATCCCTGTTCTGTCAAACATTTACTCAATCTCATTAATGAAATTATTCGCTGTATTCTTCCGTCCCTCTCGCCTCCAATATGTCCTTTGAGTGTCAAAATTTCTAATCCGTCTTTCCGCATTATGAGCCCTAAAAATCGCATCTGTCCCTTTCGTTAAGTATACGTCTCCATATTCTCGAATAACATCGTCGTTGCTCATATGTTCAGTTCATAATATACTCAGCATCCTTCTGTAGAACCTCAAGTATTTTCTTCATCTGAATGTCCAGCATTGACTGCCATAGACGTCGACAGATATTACATAACGGTTTGTTACTCATTTCTTTGTTTCAAAGGATCAGCTCTTGGAAGGCCCTTTATTTTCTCCATCCAAATGCGCCTTGGGAATTCTGTGTCGCACTTATAAAGCAATTCTTGCAAAGATTCTCAGACTTGAGCCTCTATAATTTGTAATTCGCATGTTTGTTTTTGGTTTTTCTTGTTGCTTTTTCAATCAAAATTATCCGACAAGCTGGGAAAAGGAAATCTTATCCAACAGCTCAATCTATTGGGCGCAAACTGACAATATATATATATATATATATATATATATATATATATATATATATTATTAAGATGATAAAATATAATTTTACTCACAAAACTTCCGAATATACTCGAGTATAAGTCGAATTAATGTATAATGCGACTCCTGAACTTTTGGGTATAAAAACTTTTTTCGTTTTTTTTCCCCCATGTACCTCGTGTATAATTCCACCCCAGCTTCCAAGCAATGCTATTAGGCCTATAAAGTGCATCATGATCCTGGTCATATTTTATAGCAAATAAATATTCTCCGTCCTTTTTTGTACAAAACAGCCCCAAAATGGTGAAGGCTTATATAACCGTGCAACCTCACTAACCCCGAAATTAAGGAACCTCGAATCTGCTCAGTAACTAGATGGGTGAACACTCGGGAATACCAGATGTTATAAGCTTGGATGTGTGGCTGGTGTAATGGATATGAGCTAGGAATTGTTAATCGGAGAGTCGAGTTCCAATTCCAGATGATTTCCTTACATATATATATATATATATATATATATATATATATATATATATATATATATATATATATATATATATATATATATATATATATATATATATATATATATATATCCCCCAACTATAGGTTAATTAGTAGGTCATATTTCATCAAATCGTTATTATCTCCAAAATTCGTAAAATCCAAAATATATCTGCTGGCTTTAAGTAATCAGCAAAAATGCTGATGAAGCATACAATATCAATCAATCAGTGAAACCCTGGGCTACATATTTTGACATAGTGGAAGTCAAAACAATCGGTCCCTATTTTATGGCTTTAAATAACCTTCATAAAGTTGATAAACCGTAAAAACAAATCAATCAATCGTACATATGCACACAAACATATATATATATATATATATATATATATATATATATATATATATATATATATATAAATATATATATATATATATATATATATATATAAAGCGAACATAGAACTCAACTCTTAGAGTCGACAGTCTGTTCCTAGCATGAAACGGACTGTCGCCTCTGAGTGTTGACTTCTATGTGCACTTTCTATATTTACACGCTCTATCTCTGATAT